AAAGCCTGTGCAACATGACATGGACACGCTCAAGTCGTATTATCTTTTCGATACTTTGTCCTCATGTCAACTATTCTCATTGATCCATTGTTCCATTACGGTTCGAATTATCATTATATGCTTATTATTAGATTATTGCCAATATTATGACCGAATGTGGAATTATTAATCTTGTTCGTGCTGTCATTAAATTATGACATTTTCGTAATCATATCACCCACCGAACAAATTATCATTTTATGAACACTGTCCGTCGCAGAACCGTGTTGCAGGTCGATGTTATTGAGGAGTTGGTCTAACCCTTGTCTATCGGTTAGGTCTCCGCGTTTAAGAATAGAACGTTTCGGCGTTTCGTAAGGTTCAGAAACATCACAAGTAAACATACTAGGTATTACGTACCTGTTGAATTCGTGCGGTATTGCCTTGACTACTGCGAGGAATTGTGCACGTGTGTCGTTCACGCCGTGCTAGGAGAAATCGGCTTCTGCGTAGTAAAACCAGGCTTCGATGTTGTCTGGCCGGAAGGGCATCAGTTGGAACGAAAGTGGGTACAAAGTCTTAAGCTTAGGTACTTTCGGTGTGTAGTGTCAGTTACTATGTTAAGCCCATATACTGTATTCTAACTTTCGGACATCCCATTCTATTCATTCTACTGGAGTCATACTTTGACCTTGTTATTTATTCGCTTATCAATCTACACTGTTTTTATATGAGCGTATATGTGTGTGCCCTTCTTATCCCATTAATCACATGTCTGTGGCTTTGTTTTGTCTGACTATAAATATTGAGTAACGCTTGACTAAAAGGGAGTTGGCTTACCAGCCATCTCCACTGCGCATCATTTCTACTTGGCTTCACCGTGTGCTTGCTTGCTTGCTTGCTTGCTGCTTGCTTGCTTGCTTGCTTGCTTGCTGTACGCTTGCGGATTTTTATTAATCATTAACAATAAATTATCTCTACAACGGGTGTTCAGGCTTCTGAATAATATCGAGTAAATCCGTAATTCTACTAGGAGATTAAGCCTACGTTAAATACTCGGTTTACGGGATATTATTTATTGGAGTCAGATATAGAGGACATTAGCCTCAACATATTGGTGACCCGCCCTTAGAACACGCACCATTCCTCAGCAAACTTAATCCCCACCCCCGACGACGAACAAATTCAGCGAAGCCAGCGCAATCTCCAATCCAACTCAATCAGCAAAGCCTGTGCAACATGACATGGACACGCTCAAGTCGTATTATCTTTTCGATACTTTGTCCTCATGTCAACTATTCTCATTGATCCATTGTTCCATTACGGTTCGAATTATCATTATATGCTTATTATTAGATTATTGCCAATATTATGACCGAATGTGGAATTATTAATCTTGTTCGTGCTGTCATTAAATTATGACATTTTCGTAATCATATCACCCACCGAACAAATTATCATTTTATGAACACTGTCCGTCGCAGAACCGTGTTGCAGGTCGATGTTATTGAGGAGTTGGTCTAACCCTTGTCTATCGGTTAGGTCTCCGCGTTTAAGAATAGAACGTTTCGGCGTTTCGTAAGGTTCAGAAACATCACAAGTAAACATACTAGGTATTACGTACCTGTTGAATTCGTGCGGTATTGCCTTGACTACTGCGAGGAATTGTGCACGTGTGTCGTTCACGCCGTGCTAGGAGAAATCGGCTTCTGCGTAGTAAAACCAGGCTTCGATGTTGTCTGGCCGGAAGGGCATCAGTTGGAACGAAAGTGGGTACAAAGTCTTAAGCTTAGGTACTTTCGGTGTGTAGTGTCAGTTACTATGTTAAGCCCATATACTGTATTCTAACTTTCGGACATCCCATTCTATTCATTCTACTGGAGTCATACTTTGACCTTGTTATTTATTCGCTTATCAATCTACACTGTTTTTATATGAGCGTATATGTGTGTGCCCTTCTTATCCCATTAATCACATGTCTGTGGCTTTGTTTTGTCTGACTATAAATATTGAGTAACGCTTGACTAAAAGGGAGTTGGCTTACCAGCCATCTCCACTGCGCATCATTTCTACTTGGCTTCACCGTGTGCTTGCTTGCTTGCTTGCTTGCTTGCTTGCTTGCTTGCTTGCTGTACGCTTGCGGATTTTTATTAATCATTAACAATAAATTATCTCTACAACGGGTGTTCAGGCTTCTGAATAATATCGAGTAAATCCGTAATTCTACTAGGAGATTAAGCCTACGTTAAATACTCGGTTTACGGGATATTATTTATTGGAGTCAGATATAGAGGACATTAGCCTCAACATATTGGTGACCCGCCCTTAGAACACGCACCATTCCTCAGCAAACTTAATCCCCACCCCCGACGACGAACAAATTCAGCGAAGCCAGCGCAATCTCCAATCCAACTCAATCAGCAAAGCCTGTGCAACATGACATGGACACGCTCAAGTCGTATTATCTTTTCGATACTTTGTCCTCATGTCAACTATTCTCATTGATCCATTGTTCCATTACGGTTCGAATTATCATTATATGCTTATTATTAGATTATTGCCAATATTATGACCGAATGTGGAATTATTAATCTTGTTCGTGCTGTCATTAAATTATGACATTTTCGTAATCATATCACCCACCGAACAAATTATCATTTTATGAACACTGTCCGTCGCAGAACCGTGTTGCAGGTCGATGTTATTGAGGAGTTGGTCTAACCCTTGTCTATCGGTTAGGTCTCCGCGTTTAAGAATAGAACGTTTCGGCGTTTCGTAAGGTTCAGAAACATCACAAGTAAACATACTAGGTATTACGTACCTGTTGAATTCGTGCGGTATTGCCTTGACTACTGCGAGGAATTGTGCACGTGTGTCGTTCACGCCGTGCTAGGAGAAATCGGCTTCTGCGTAGTAAAACCAGGCTTCGATGTTGTCTGGCCGGAAGGGCATCAGTTGGAACGAAAGTGGGTACAAAGTCTTAAGCTTAGGTACTTTCGGTGTGTAGTGTCAGTTACTATGTTAAGCCCATATACTGTATTCTAACTTTCGGACATCCCATTCTATTCATTCTACTGGAGTCATACTTTGACCTTGTTATTTATTCGCTTATCAATCTACACTGTTTTTATATGAGCGTATATGTGTGTGCCCTTCTTATCCCATTAATCACATGTCTGTGGCTTTGTTTTGTCTGACTATAAATATTGAGTAACGCTTGACTAAAAGGGAGTTGGCTTACCAGCCATCTCCACTGCGCATCATTTCTACTTGGCTTCACCGTGTGCTTGCTTGCTTGCTTGCTTGCTTGCATGCTTGCTTGCTTGCTTGCTTGCTGTACGCTTGCGGATTTTTATTAATCATTAACAATAAATTATCTCTACAACGGGTGTTCAGGCTTCTGAATAATATCGAGTAAATCCGTAATTCTACTAGGAGATTAAGCCTACGTTAAATACTCGGTTTACGGGATATTATTTATTGGAGTCAGATATAGAGGACATTAGCCTCAACATATTGGTGACCCGCCCTTAGAACACGCACCATTCCTCAGCAAACTTAATCCCCACCCCCGACGACGAACAAATTCAGCGAAGCCAGCGCAATCTCCAATCCAACTCAATCAGCAAAGCCTGTGCAACATGACATGGACACGCTCAAGTCGTATTATCTTTTCGATACTTTGTCCTCATGTCAACTATTCTCATTGATCCATTGTTCCATTACGGTTCGAATTATCATTATATGCTTATTATTAGATTATTGCCAATATTATGACCGAATGTGGAATTATTAATCTTGTTCGTGCTGTCATTAAATTATGACATTTTCGTAATCATATCACCCACCGAACAAATTATCATTTTATGAACACTGTCCGTCGCAGAACCGTGTTGCAGGTCGATGTTATTGAGGAGTTGGTCTAACCCTTGTCTATCGGTTAGGTCTCCGCGTTTAAGAATAGAACGTTTCGGCGTTTCGTAAGGTTCAGAAACATCACAAGTAAACATACTAGGTATTACGTACCTGTTGAATTCGTGCGGTATTGCCTTGACTACTGCGAGGAATTGTGCACGTGTGTCGTTCACGCCGTGCTAGGAGAAATCGGCTTCTGCGTAGTAAAACCAGGCTTCGATGTTTTCTGGCCGGAATTGCATCATTTGAATTGCAATTTTTTGATTTTCTTACGCTGTCTTACTTTTTATCTATTCATTCATGTTGAAATATGCTGTAGAATAATGAATGAATGGAAAATAGATATATATCGAAAACATGAAAAGAAAATATCACAAGTCATTAAACATTATATTATGTCAATTTATTATGAAATCCCAAAAGCGAACAAACTCACTCTTTACAATTTGTTTTATTAGATTACTTTAGGCTCGCCAACGAAGATGCCACAAATATTTGGAGTTTGACACCCGTTTAACCAGTAACACCTAATATCAAGCGTACACCAGGTGAGGTTAAATTCAGTTGTGAGTTGGTTCGAAGGTATATTCGATAGGCTATCAATATATCGAGGTTCGTCTGATCTAATCTGGCTATCGATTGTAGGGATTGTTGAGCACGGCGTTCCCTCCCGTGATCTGGTGCGGATACATGACCGAGCACCTTCAGCTAGGTTAGTTCATTAAAACTAGTGTGTTCAGCATCCAATGTCGAAAACTTACAGAGCTATTTATTTTGGGGATTTATTTACTGCCACATGACTATCAATTTTCCCATGAATCATCAACAGATGGAAATTGCTACGTCAAGATGTAATTAAAGCTCCATTTATTGATGCATTTAAAAGAAGGTGGGATCAACTGAGAAACTCACATGGCCAGGATTAACACAGAAAAACAAGCCCCTTATCCTCTCCGAAGAGAAACTGAGACTCATATGCAAACTCATAAATAACTAACAAACTGACTAGGAATAGCACACTCGAGTGTCTGATTAGGTATCCTTTGGATATTTCAAAGACCAAAGACCGTCTTGAAACAACAAAACAACCCATTTATATGAGCCACCAGGTATTGGATATTGTATGAACGCTAAATTTCAAACGGTAGCGTTGCAATGGTCCGCAAATTAAAGTATCACGAACGAAAATTGCTAAAGAAGGTCGACTTTATTAACTGGGAATGTGACAATAACTTACATGAAGTTAAAATTATGCGACTGTTTCACGTCCAGAAACGCGAAGACTACACACTGTAAGCCTTCGTTGATTTTCTCAACGTTAATGTCGACTTGATGTGTACAAACTTAAAGAAAACAAGTATTGGCAGTTGACTTATGACTCGTTATTTCGACTTCTTGGTTTGCAACCGCCGCTTCTCGATAATTATCTTTATTCGAAGATCATCGTATCGTTACGAAGTGAAGGATTTGGACAAGAGGTATATTAGGTTAACTCTTCAGTAATAAGGATAGTAGGTTGGTGAACCTGTATTAATCCTGACACATTGCTTTCCAGTGAAGGTCCAGCTTCTCCCTGAAAGTATTCACTGATGGGGCTGATACCACTTGTTCGGGTAAGGCGTTCCAATGATTGACTACTCGATGAGAAAAACTGGACCCCACATTAAGTTTATTAGATCGTGGTTTATGAACCTTCTTGCTATGACCTCGGAGATTATTAGTGATGGAGGGGGCAAAAATATAAGGCATATTAACACCCAAATCATAATTAAAGATACGAAATGCCAGTATAAGGTCACCTCGTGACCTACGATACGACATAATTCATAACCACAACTCACTGGATCGATGCTCCTGTAAAACAAGGAACCGGTCGTGGTACTAGGTGGCTTCCGTCTAAAATAGTGGATGTTTCGGTGGTCTGATACGTTTCCGGTTAAAAAACGTCCTTATATTCAGCACTACTGCTTAATGTCAACAGGCATAATTATTGATTAAGCTCCTCATTTCCGGCTCTATACATCTTGAAATTGACTACTGGATTAAAAAGTTTCCAATTATTTCATAGTGTCGGTTTGTTGCTTTTCGGTTACTTTAGTACGTCACACATTCACTAGATTACATATAGTTACCTTAGCCATAACAAGGGCTTCATCTCTATTTCGTTCTCGACCTCACCTCCCTGGTCTGATTAACTTCATACAGCTAAATCCAAACCCCTCTCGTTATTTTTTATTTAATCTTACTTGAAGTTATTGTCCCCTGATATGATGTGAAGATTTCTTTCACCGTGGATACAATGTTGATGATTGCCAGGTTATTATTGTAAGCTAATACCGGTGGAGGAACGACTTTGCCATACTAAGTAATTACAGTACGTTGCATAAATTTTTCAAACTGAGGCTTACTTGAGTTACATTTATCACCATTAACAACTGGGTGGTTATTAATAACAATCAGATGAAGGGAATATGTTGTAGTAATTGTAATACTAAGTACTTCTTTTATCTCAATATATCCTATTATTTAGTAGGTTCACAATGAAGTGGTACATGAGCGAGTGAATTATCAAAAGCTACTGTTTTTTTTATAGTTTTCTGTGGTACCAAGTTCGCAACGAATGATAGTTGTCATCCATAGTGGATGTTGCTCTTGTACCTAACCATATCTTGACAATTTTGTCTGCGATTCATCTGCTTTATAAATATACAGAATTCTAGCTTTAGTCATTAGTCTACTTAAACTGTCGAATCTCATGTCTCAACACCAGACATAAGGTCCAATATGTTCACTTACTTAAGTCTGGTGCTCCTCTTGGGGCATAAGCTGCCTACCAGGGATCTTCAAGTGGTTCTGTCCTGATTTCCTTACCAGTTGTCGCCTAGTTGTGTTTTTATTCTTGATGCTTGCTACTAATTTCTGGGAGAACGCACTTCCTGATCTACCTCTTTCTCTTTTGTCTTGAGGACTCCAAGTCTGGCCTTGCTTTGTGGTACAGTTTAGTAGTTTGTTCATAATGTGCCTCACCTACATTAGCGTCTTTTTCCTAATTTCTTCCTCAGCCAGTTTATTCCATGACTCAGTTATTCTTGATAGTGTCTGGCCAGTGTATTTGAAGTATCTTATACAGTCACCTGATTATTAATGTCTGTACATTTTTGATGATGATGGTGCTATTCCTCTGCGCTTTAACCCCATATAGTAGAACTTTTAACATTAATGTTGAAGATTCTAATTTTGGGGTTCTATGACGGTTGTTTCGGGTTTCAGACATTCTTCAGTCGTATGAAAGTCTCCTTCGCTTTGCCAATTCATGCCTTGATATTTGATCAGATCCTCCCTGTGTATCGATGGTGCCTCCTAAATACGTAGAGTTCATTTTCTTCCAGAGCTCCCCCCACCAAGTGGGAATTGACTGGGGCTCGCTGTGTTGTATTCCAATACCTTGTTTCTCCCCCTATGGATGTTGAAACCTACTATTGCCGAAATAGCTAATATGCTGGCTATCTTTTGTATTCGTTGTTTTGTATGCAATAGTAGTGCTGTCATTCGCAAAGTCCAAGTCATCCAACTGTGTCTAAGGCGTCTACTTTATTCCGTGCTTTTCCTGAGGTGTGGTTTTCATGATCTAGTCAACAGCTAGTAGAAAAAGAAAATATGGAAGAAGACATTTTTCTTTGACACCGTTTTTTATTTGGATCCGTAAGCTATCTTCCATGCGCGACTTTGAATTGTAGTCCTTGGTAAAAGTTCCGTATAATGCTGATAATCTTTTCACTCACTCCATAATGTTGAAGAAAATTAAACAAGGTCTTCCTATCTATGTTGTCGGATTTTTCATAGTAAAGGAAGTTTACATAAAGCAGTGAGTTCCGTTCAGTTGAGTTTTAAACAACGACCCTCCATGTCGCGATTCGTCTGGTACATGGTTGATCCAGCCCGTTGATCTCGAGGTTGCGCGTCTGCCGGATCTTTCATTCGGTTCAGCAGCGCTGTTGAAAACCTTGCCTGGTACTGACAGTAGCGTGATAGCTCCGTAGTTCTCACACTTACTAGGATGTCTTGATGAGACATCCCTCCCTCTAGTCCACTGGTACTCGCTCCTTTCAAGTCTTTCTGAAGAGAACGTGGGACATCTTTACTGATACCTCAATATCTAACTTCAGCACCTCAATTAGTGTGTTGTCTGGTCCTACTACTTTCCGATTCTTGATTTGTGTAATGGCCTTGCTAAATTTTTGTGTTGTTAGTGTGGTACTATCTGTGTTGCTCAACTTCCGATCGGTTTAGCGGTGCCGGCTTATTCAATAGCTCTTCAAATGCTGTGGCGACTTGTTCTGTTGCTCATGAACTTCAGCCGTTGTTTTCCCTCTTTTTCTCTTGACTTCTTGCTCTGGTCTACCATATATTCCTGCTAGCTTATTGGTTGTATCATACGGTCCTTTCATATTTCCTTCCCTTGCAGCTTTTTTTCTGTATTTACCAGTTCTTCAACATACCTCCGACTCAGCTTTAATACTCTTCTTCACTCCTGTTTGCTTCTGTATATTCAACCTGTGTCTTGTTTTGTTAGCTTTGATTTCTATCTTCGTGTTTTCGTTTTCTTGAATCCTTTCCAAGCTGTCTACATAGACCCATCCTTTATTCTGGTGCTTCTTGAGACTCAGCGTTTGGTACGTCAAAGTTATTGCTTCTTTAATCCCTTTCTAGTGTTTTTCAGTATTTTCCTCTTGCAGTAGATCTTATAAGGCTTCAAACTGGTTGGTGGGACCTATCTAGAACTCGTTGAACTTGTTAGTAACTCGAAGAAAGGCCATATCAAACTTTTGTAACACTGATTCTCCAACTGTTTATTGCATCTTTAACTTTAGTTTTAGCTTGGCTACCATCAGATAATGATCTGAAACTACATCAGTTCCTCCCTTTTTTCCTACATCTTCGATGGACCTGAAGTTTTTACTCATACACATATGGTCGATATGGTCTAGCGAAACTCAAGCAGCTCTGTGTATGTATTTGTCGAGAAATGTTACCATCTATAACTATGCTGTTAAAACCAAGTGAATATACCAACCTCCCAGCATTCTCGTTTCTTTCTCACAATCCATATCGCCCGATGATTTGTCCATACCTGGCGTTTCCTATCCCGACTTTGGCGTTTAGTTTTCCCGTCAGAATTATCAAGTATTTTCCTGGGTTTTCCCTAGGATAGGTTAGCCTGTCATTTATTAACTTCACTTTCATGATTGGTGAGTGCGTAGCCATGTACGATATCCATTGTAACCTCTTTCCTTTAAAGGGTGCTTCAGTAATCTTGAAGTTACAAGTTTTTAGTCTGATAAGTTCTTTGGAGAACAGCGTGTAGGGTTCTTTCATCTTCATGATCAATAATATTTCTTCCGAAGCTAGTCTTCCTTGTCTAGATCTTTCCCAATGGGTCTCAGTTATTCCAAACATATCTCATGTTGTATCTTTCCATTTCTGTGGTTATTTAAATGATCCTCCCACATTGACGGACATTCATTGTGCCTATGTTTGTTGTCTTCCTTTTTGCCAGAGGAGGAATTAGCCTTACGGCTTCCAGCGAATGTAATGTTGTTTCCCTAGTTGTCCAGTGCTTCTTCAGCTTTAGTTTCATCTTGGCAACCACCAGGTGGTGATCTGAAGCTACGTCAGTTCTTCTCTTGTTTCTCACGCTTTCAACTGACCTTCTGAACTTTTTTAGTGATGAAGATATGGTCGATCTGGTTCTCTGTAGTGTGATCCGGTGAGACCCACCTAGTTTTGTGTATGCTTTCGTGTGGGAATATTGTGCCGCCTATAACTACTTAGTTGAATGCACATAAATTTGCAAACCTGTCACCGTTTCCGTTCCTTTCCCCATTCAGTTCATGTTATATATATCTCCATACCTGTTGTTCATTCCTATTTCGGCGTTCCGGTCTCCCATCAGGATGGTCAGGTCCTTTCCTGAGCACTTCACCATGATTGATTGCAGCCTCTCACAAGACTGGTCTTTATCGTCCTCGTTGCTATCATTGTTGGGCGCGTATCAGTGGGTAATATTCATTGTTATCTCCTCCTTCTTTGTTTTGAAAGATACTTTAAGGATTTTGGATCCATAAGATACCTGTCCTATAAGTGCTTTTTGTACTTCTTTGAACAGCATCAAAGCGACTCCCTGTGTGTGCGGAGCATTTTCTTGGTCATTGTCAGAGTAGAACAACATCTCGTGAGTTTAATGTTTCCTGTCTAACTTGAGTCCGGCGCTCTAACCGGGTTGTTGGACACGGAGAGTCCACCTGGTGAAGTTGGAAAACCCTGATATCAAACCATTGGTGTACATGGGCTCCAATATCCTGAAGGAACAAGTGGCGTGTGAACCTATTGTTGGTCACCGGCTACCATGGGACTGCATCTGCTGACGTTGCTCCAATGCCTTGTGGATCAGACCTTTAGGTCGAAGGCTCCTGATGTGACCCCCTAATCAAACCACCCACTTCGGTTTGGGCAGTATCCCAGCCCTTGCACAAATCGAATGACTTATGTGACGCATATCTATTTGGTGCCTCTTTGTACCAATGTTTATGTGTTTAAATAAATAAAATAAATAGTCTGAGAATCATCAGGTTGTATCTCCTTATTTTCACAGTTATTCGACTGTTCCTACCGGTCTCCCATACTATCCGGACATTCTGTGTACCTATAAAAAACTGTTGCTCTGGTTGTTAGAAGGGACGTCAGCTTCGTTACCTTCAAAGACTCTCGGTTTTCACCATGAGGCATCACCATTCTTGTAAATGAAGATCCTTCAACTTCCCGGCAAGAGCTTATATGTTTTATTCTAGTTTTTCGGATATAACCACCACTTAAAACTATGACGATCACATTATGCTGACCAAAAATGTTCTTAACAAGTATATGTGTGATCAGATTGTTCGGAATGTATTGCGCAAATATATCACATAATTCTGATAAACTACGTCTTCTCATTGCATTATCGATATTAAAATATGTTCTCCAAATCCAGTTTCTATCGTGTTATCCGAATGATACAGCTAGTTCATGTAACATCTGCGATCCTAATAAAATTCTCTCTATTGGCTGGTAATGAGATGGTGGAGAACATTCGCATCTCAAGGTGACAGTTTTGAAGATTATGGTTTCTCTGAGCTGGATGGCTTAATCATGAAGCTTTCATTGTCTTTCTCAACAAACCAATAGAAACCCACTTTAAGACAAAATGATCTACTAGATTTTCTGGGCAACTGACTAGCACCTTGCACTGTTGACCTAAGATTTAGATGGTCTTTGTCCACATCTATGTGCTGATGATAATTCAGAGAGAAACAATCAGTTTCTTGATTAAACCATGCAGCTCAGAGAACACGACACATCCGAAAATTCACTGATAATATTTTCAAATGATCAAACTTTGTTTAACCATTTTCAAAGAATATTATTGACATCTTTAGTTTTGTGGTGTACAATTTCGGATTATTTTAGAATATGAAGTGATGATAATCATATATTAGTAAATGTGTCAGGTAGATTCTATTTTTAAAAGTATCCTTTATTCTTTTGTCATAGTTACAATAAACTCTCTCGAAAAATCAGAGAAATTGCGGAAAAACTTAAGAATATCAATGAAAACGATCCTTGGAGGGCAGAAATGACTGAACTACTGACAGCAAAGTTGTATGTCATCATTTTTAAGTGTAATAATTATAAAGACACAACTTAGGTTTGATACCAACAAGAAGGAGTCTTATGTTAGCGTCGAAAGTCAACGCCTCTTCATTTTGTCGAAGACGGCTTTCAGTTATTGTAATGCGTTCAAAAATGGCAGAAACAATGAAAGCAGCTGTGACGTTTGTTGAGCAAGGACATGTTCGTGTGGGCCCAGATATCATACGAGACCCAGCATATCTGGTTACAAGGTTTGTTACTGATCTAAACCTTTTATCTTACGTTAAGTTCAATAGTAAACTGTTGTTTTTGAGATGCAGAAAACTGTCTCAGAGATTCTTTGTACCTGTCTTGTATTATTTCGAAGGATTCACAGAGATTATCTACAAACAGGCTGCAGCTTGCGACAAGATATATGAAAATTTTCCTGGTTATGAACTTCGGTTAAGCGAATACATATGAATATATTTTTTCAATATATCTAACATTAACTGTATGATTGAAGATTCAGTAAGTTGTAAGCAACACAGAAACTGGCACATATCTGTTCAAGTTGCCACACATATGCATAATAAGATGAGTACTAAAGTAGTAAATGTGGCAGTAGTGACGGTGAAAAAAATTAGATATAGAGAATATAATTCGCGAAAAATGAATGACTTTGCAGAACGAAAGGTTTAAAATAGTTTGAGGACTCAATCTAGGAGAAAGACGTAGTATAAACACGTCGACGACGTTGCTGTCAGATCTGAGTTAAGTCACCAGCCACTAGTCACAATGATCACTTGAACCCCAGACAGGTGGTCTACATTTTGAGAAAAAGGCTCAATCTAAAATTCAGTGACCTTATGGACTTATAAAATGTCTTAGTCTGGCTACCCTTAGCTTTCTTCCAGCTAACTGTTATGCCTATGATTAACTATTTGAATTGTATTTGTAATAAGAACTGATTACGATACTGTTAGTTTTCTACTGTATACCTTAAACAACATAATACATCTAGCTGAATGAACTTTACATGGGTTGTGGTCTCTACCTGGACCATAGATTTTTATAATTTTTCTCTCTTATTAGTCCATTAGTACTGTCATCTTATTCCCTATGAATCGTTTTTGGGTGCCCTGTTGTACCACGCATTTGGTCATGAGAAAAAAAGACTTATTATTTCATGTATCAAACCAAATTATTGCTGTAGTCATTAATGACGAATCCCAAGCATTGAATCGTGTGGCTAACATGTTAGTCCGTTTTTATTTCCAAATTTGCCGGCAGATCTATGGAAGACTATATAACTTGGGGATCTCGATCGAAAATTCGTAAACGAATTGAGGATTATAATGGATTGCGAGATGATTATGATGATGTGTGACAAATTGTGAGTATATAATACTATACATAAATCATTATGACTACAAGTTATATATTTTCTTGGAATATATAATTGAAATTACTCCTTCAAAAAATTCTCGAGTTTTACTGCAGATTCATGCCAAGTTCGCTATTTCGGACGTAAGAAATACAAAGGTCTTACCGCCATCCGACAAAATTACCAACACACTGTCGCTCAAATCTGTAAATTTTCGTGAACTCTTGAACTTGTGTAATCTTTATAGTGTAGTGTAGGTGATCGTAATATAATGAACGACATATTTCGCAGTTTTAGCCTGTTAAACCGCTTTTTAGATCAAATGGATGTCTTTCATAATTTATAAGCTCGGAAAAAGTCTGAATGACTTGAGTGAAATTCAGATCCCTCGGAATTTTCTCTTTGAATTTTGGAGACATCATTAATCAACCTTTGAAGTCTAATGACTTCTTACTAGCCATTTTTCATCGCTTCAGATTAGCCATGGCTTTTAGAACTTCAATTAGAGTCGGTGGGCCTATTTCAATGTCCCATTCAAGCTGTTTGGGAATGGTGATTAGCTGAATAACAGCTGAACTGCTCCTTAAATTGTTCCGCTCATCGTCCTAAACCTCTAAACCGAGAGCAGATGAGTGCCGTCTTTTTCTGAGATTGACAGTTGACTTATTAGTCCCTGTTTCCTTTATTAGTCTGAAAAGCTGTTTGGTGTTACCTACAGCTGCTGCTTTCTCCATATTTTTTTGCTTTCGTTGCTCACCACTGCTCACGATCGTTTCGCAAACTCTTGGTTAGTCTAGATCTGGTTTGTTTTCGCTCTTCATTGTGTTCGGAGCCTGATGGGATAAGTTTAAGAGGGTCTATCAGCGCAATAGATGTCACAAAACCCACTGGTTTTTCGTAACCCTTTGGTTCACATCAGTAATAGATGTCACTGCTGTCTCCACAGACGTTTTTATATCTTTTCAAGCAACATCTAGGTCAGCCTCCTTTTCAGAACTGTCTAAGTATGACCTCAGTTGTTCCTAGAATTTACTTTTGACTTTCTCGTCACTAAGTTAAACTACAATGGGTCTTCTTAATGTGGCTTTTCTGCGTCCAGTGAAGCACAAGCAAATACTTGCTTGTATTAGAACATGATCAGAGTTTAAACATGTATTCTAGAACGAGCGGCAGTCATCTATCGAGCCTCTCCAACGATGACTGATGGCAGTATGGTCTATTTGAGCCTATCGTCACCATTTTAGATGATGTCTCTCATGCTGAAAAGTAGTGCTTGCTAAAAATAAACGATTGTCTGAGCACAGCAGACAGTCGCTATTACCAAAATATCTACCTAAATGTCTAACTGTTTTGTTTAAGGTACCTACTTAGGCATTAAAGCCAACTGCTACGAGTACCATGTCCAAGTGTTTAGCTTTTTAAAGAAGTTCAGAAAGCCTTCTGTAAAAATTCATTTTTCACTTCTTCCAGGTTGCAGTCGGTAGGAGCAGAACAGCACATAGGCGACCGTTAATGGGGATCCATCCCAAAGTGCTTGTCCTGCCCTCACAGTTAGTGCTGTGCCTACACCCGCCGAGTCACCAGATAAACAGGTGTATTTCGTCGGATCTCTGTTTTGACTACGTGAGGTCAAGTGAATGATCACACTAGGATCCTGTATGTATGTTTTGGAGACAGCATACATCAATGGTACGAGATTCTAGGTTCTTAGCCAAGGAGGTCTACTGGTCGATTTAACAGGGTTCGTACGTTGAAATCTCCAATGTGTAGTTTAGAGCGAGATTTTAGTAGAAGTGGGAAAGACCCGTATTCAAGACTCTGGCGAAGTACTACAAATTCGATCTCCATCTGTCGCTTCGAAAAGCTTGTTTTACGTGCGCTTATCCGGGGACCCTGTGGCATCTTCGTCTGGTCTTGCTGGCGTTGGTGTCGCACTAAGCGCTAGAGCTGAGGCAGCACTAGTCGATTGGATCCCCATTAACAGTCGGTTATGTGCTGTTAGATTAGAAAGTTCCATCAAAGTGAGAAGAAATCGGCGTGAGAAACGATGTCTTTTCGTCATCTCCGCCTATGCCCCGACAGATTGCAGCCCGGATGCAATCAAGGATGAGTTTTACCACCAGTTATCAGTTCTTCTCCAGAAAGTGCGTTCGACAGATATTGTAGTACTAGCCGGAGACTTGAATGCTCAGGTCGGGCGTCTAGGCACAGAAGAGAGTCGTTTAGGTGGCCGATGGGGACTCGTTGGTCGCAGGTCAGATAACGGGGACCGTCTACTGCAACTTTGCACAGACCACAACCTGTTTCTGGCTAGCACTAACTTTCGGCACAGTCATCGCCGATGTGCCACCTGGCGTCCTCCCTCTGCATCTCAAGCCTGGACTCAGATTGATCACATCGCGATCAGCTACCGCTGGCGTGGTTGTGTAAAAGACTGCCGCTCCTTTTGGAGTACCTATCTGGACTCTGACCATGCCTTGGTCTGCGCCAATCTTGCCTTACTTTTCAGTGGACAACGAAGTGACCCCACCAACGGATTGATGTTAGCAAGCTGGTTGCAACTTCTGTTGCAAGTAAGTATCGAACCGAGCTAGCCTCTAGGCTAGCTACCACTCCACCGAAAAGTATAGATGAGCATTGGTTGCAATTGCATGACGCCATGAAAATGGCGGGAACAGTCAGTTGTGGGTTTGCGAAACGTCCCGCTTTTAAGCACTGGGTTTCTTCTGGTTCCTTACAACTCATTGAAGCCCGTCGGTCTACTCCGGGTGACCGTGAGTTTGACCATAAACGAAGGATGTTACGTAAGGAAATTGGGCAAAGCTTGCGTAAGGACCGAGAAGCCTGGTGGTCGATGCGTGCTAATGAGCTGGAAGCAGCAGCTGCATCTGGTAACTACCGGAAGCTCTTCCAGCTCATCCGAGCCACTGGCAGCAAGAAGTCTGGTGTGAGTGAAACAATCTGCGAGGATGATGGGATGCCAATCACTAACATCCATCGACGTCTTGGACGATGGGCAGAATTTTTCGAAGGGCAGTTCAACTGGCCTGCTGCTCCGGCAACATCGGTCAGACTGTCCTGCCCTCCATGGCCGGTGACGACTGATCCACCAAATGAGGAGGAAGTCCGCAAGGAACTCCAACTCTTGAAGCGTTACAAATCACCTGGCCCAGATGACTTACCTCCGGCTCTTTTTAAAGATGGTGGTGACTTTTTGACTAAGGAATTGACGACGTTGTTTACAAAGGTTTGGGAACTAGAGTGTGTACCAACGTCATGGAATGAGTCGATAGTTGTCCCTATCTTTAAAAAGGGTTCACGTCGTTCCTGTAACAACTATCGGGGGATAAGTCTACTTCCGATTGCGTCCAAGCTATTGGCTTCCGTCATTCTTCGTAGGTTGTTCAAAACCCGAGAAAGATTGACTCGCGAGGAGCAGGCTGGGTTTCGTTCTGGTCGAGGATGTATTGATCATATCTTCACCCTCCGCCAAATGTTAGAACACCGCCATACTTTTCAAAGGCCAACAATCGTAGTGTTTCTTGACATCAGGGCTGCCTTCGATTCGTTGGACAGGACTGTTCTCTGGGATTGTCTATTGAAGAAGGGTGTGCCTGAGAAGTTTATTAACATCCTAAAAGCCCTATATAAAAACACCTCAGGCAGAGTGAGGGCATACAACCACCTCTCTCCATTGTTCCATTCGAGCAGTGGGGTTAGGCAGGGTTGCCCAATCTCACCATTCCTCTTCAACTTTGCCATCGATGACATTCTGGAAACAGCTCTGATGAATGTAAGTAATGGTGGTGTGGATCTGTTGCCTGGAGAAAGACTTCTCGACCTTGAGTATGCGGACGATATTGTCTTACTGTGCGATAATGCCCAAGGCATGCAATCCGCACTTAATCAGTTGGCAATCAGTGTCCGTAGGTATGGTATGTGCTTTGCACCTTCGAAGTGCAAAGTACTTCTACAAGACTGGCAGGATTCTAATCCTGTACTCACCCTGGATGGTGAGCAGATAGACGTAGTTGAGAAGTTCGTGTATCTGGGTAGCTGCATAAGTGCTGGTGGGGGTGTGAGTGATGAGATCAATGCACGAATAGTGAAAGCCAGAGCGGCTTATGCCAATCTGGGCCACCTTTGGCGCCTTCGTGATGTTAGTCTGGCTGTAAAAGGTCGGATCTACAACGCGTCGGTGAGAGCAGTTTTGCTCTATGCTTGTGAAACCTGGCCTCTCCGAGTTGAGGACGTTAGACGACTCTCTGTGTTCGATCATCGCTGTCTCCGAAGGATTGCTGACATTCAGTGGCAACACCATGTCAGTAATGCAGAGGTTCGGCATCGTGTGTTCGGGCACAGAGATGATAATTCAATTGGTGTCACCATCTTGAAACACCGACTTCGGTGGCTTGGACATGTTCTCCGAATGTCGTCCCAGAGAATTCCACGTCGTGCATTATTTGCCGACTCTGGGACTGGTTGGAAGAAGCGGAGAGGTGGTCAGTGCATGACATGGTGTCGTGGCATGAAAGAAAGCTGCAAAGGACTGGCTTGTGTTGGTCCTTCACGACTCCCTGGTTGGGGTCCGAGAGATGGTGCTACACAGTGGCTAGAGACGTTATCAGATATGGCTCAGAATAGAAGCCAGTGGCGATCCTGCTGTAACCTTCTTTTACTTTCTTCATAAAAAGTGGTTGTGTCTCCTTTACCTGAAAGATTTCTTCTGATTGTACCTTTTCGTTCCGTCGTTACTACCACACTACCTTACTCCAATCTCTTCGTCATTGTTCTCTTTTTCTTTTGCGCTCCTTAGTTTTTTTTCTACTTCTCTTCGAATTCTCATTGTTTTGTGTGGCGCATATATATACCAATATTCATGTGTTCAAATAAATAAATAAATAAAAAGACGTTTGCGTACTAAAACCGCTAGCCATGGTGACACCTGAGGAGGAAGTTTAGGGTTGATAATCGAGGTAGGAAGAATAATAGGATCGAATAAAGGAAGTTTATTGTGAATACAGTGGTCTTTAGTAATGTTAGAGGTAGATACAAAACGGATATGTGGCAATTTTACTCAAGGTTGACTCTCTTTATGACAATGATAGCAAAATAGTCACTGAAAGAATAAATTTACTTACCTCTTCTATAGTTGAAATCAGCCCCAGCTCAACTTTCTAGCTTACAATTATCAGGGTTTTAAAATTTTATTTAGTTGAACACATAAACATTAGTACAAGGGGGCACCAAAGAATAACAATGAGGTTTTGAAGAGATAGAGAATGTAAAGTGCGTATAATAAAGTGCCAACAACAACGAACGGAAATTAATGTATGAGTGGGATATATAATAATGGGAGAAACACTTCAGTTAGCAAAAATATAACCAGAAATGATTCTTTCAATTAAAGAAGTTACGTTCATTTTCTATGAGGAAAGTTGCAGTAGTATCGCCACTGGCTTTTATTCTGAGCCAGGTCTGATAACGTCTCTAGCCACTGTGTTGCACCATCTCTAGGATCCCAACCAGGAAGTCGTGGAGGACCAACATAAGCCAGTCTTGTACAGCTTCCACATCAGGACATGATGTCATACACTGACCACCTCTTCACTTTTTATAATCAGTCCCGGCGACGGTAAGTAATGCACGATGTGGAAATCTCTGGATGATATTCTTGATACATGTCCAAGCCACCGAAGTCGATGTTTCAAGATGGTAACACCAACTGAATTATCGTCGCTATACCCGAAAACACGATGCTGAACCTCAGCATTACTAACATAGTGTTGCCACTGGATGTCAGCAATCCTTCGGAGACAACGGTGGTCAAACACAGAGTCGTCTAACATCCCCAACTCAGAGAAGCCAGGTTTCACGAGCACAGAGCAAAACTGCTCTCACCGACGCGTTGTAGATCCGGCTTTTCACAGCCAGACTAATATTACGAAGGCGCCAAAAATGGTCCAGATTAGAATGACCCGCTCTGGCCTTCACTATACGTGAATTAATCTCTACTTAAGCCACAACCATCACGTATGCAGCTACCTAGACATCTCGACTACTTCTATCCGCTCACTACCCAGCGCGATTGCAGGATCAGGACGCTGTCGGTCTTGTAAAAGTACTTTTCACTTCGAAGGTGCAAACCATATACCATACCTACGGATACTAATTGCCAACTGATTTAGTGTGGATTGCATGGCTTGTGTATCATTGCATAATAAGATATTATCCGCATACTCAGGGTCGGAAGGTACTTTTTCGGGCAACAGATTCACACTATTACCTACATCCATC